GTCCATGGGGGATTTGCCATCTATTTGGGTTCTAACCTTGTATCTTGGACAGCTCGTAAACAACGCACTATTTTTCCATCCTCTACTGAGTCAGATTACAAAGCTCTGGCTGATACTGTAGTTGAACTTACCTGGCTTCAAGATCTCCTTCTTGAACTTGGTGTTCGTGCCCCCATCAGCTCCTATCTTATGGTGTGACAATCTAGGTGCAATCTATCTATCAGCCAGCCCGGTCTTTCATGCATGAACAAAGCACATGGAGGTTGACTTTCATTTTTCAAAGAAAAGGTTGTTCAAGGAGACCTTCGTGTACAATTCATTTCCACAAAAGAGCAGATTGCTGATATTTTCACGAAGCCGTTGCTCCTAGATTTCTATTCTTACGATCCAAGCTACACATCGTTACCCGTCCTTAACTTGTGGGGGGTATAAGGCTGAATGTACTTAAGTGTAATTAGTATAATATAGAGGGCACTCCTAAGTAATTAGTATCTCTATACATAGATATGAAAGTCAATACACAAAAACCCTTTTGGTTTATCTATTTAATGATTTTCTAAGTCTACTAACCAAATAAGAAGTGTTTTTATGTTAATGTTGGTATCAGATAACATTATTGGTAATCAAATGAATTGTTTGTAAGCGTGTCTTACTCGATAAAAGCTAATCGGATAGGAATCTTCTCCCTCATTTACCGGATAAGAACCATGGTTGTTACGACGCCTCTTACCAAGATTCTCAGTTATTGCCTTGTTCACCCAGAAAGTGATGGATAAATGACCCCTTAATCTCATATACTTATTTCGTACTTTAAACAATTGTTAGCAATAAGGCAATTACGTTTCTTTGTTCGGGAAAATGAGTTCATGACTATTGTTTATGTCATTGCAAAGAGGAGAGATTACCTACTAGAGAACAATTTGATTGCAAGTCAATCCAAAATGAAATTCTAAATAAATCCTAAAAGAATTGAGATATTATTTGATGACGAAGATAAAGTTTTGTCAAACTCTAATTAATGTCTTGTCATATTAGCAATCTATAAAACTTTTTTTTATAAAAATTACTCCTGCCGAGTTTAGTATTCTATTAAATTAATTCATCATCGAGAATTGAAACCCATCTCGATGGTCCACAAACTTCTAAAAGATTTGTAATTGTATCCCATTTTTCTTATTTAATTTTAATGTGTATCCAGAAATAATTTATGCTTATTTATTGCACAAATTATGTTTATTTAAAAAAAATGTAAATGATTATAAAAATGTGGATATTTAACTAACAATTTATTTTCACTAATATAGATTATATAGAATAAAATCCAAAAAGTAAATCATAAGATGAAATAAGTTACTATTATATAGATTAAATCTATTATAAACGAATAAATTTGACCAAAAAGAACTACATTAAACATCTTAATTTGCATTGCTATTATGTTCACAATGCACTCAAATCAACCTACAAAGTGGTGATGTACCAAATGTGTCGATAAATCTAGTTTGGGTCATGACTTAGTGAGAAATCGCAAAAAAACATGGATAGAAATTTAAGATTTCATAGAGACCGTTTTCTTTAAACAATATTTCGATCATTTTATTTGTTTTGGTTACACAAAATTTATTAAGGATAATCTCCATTCACAGTATCGTTAGTGACAAATCAAAAGCCTATAAACACATACAATTTGTGAAGTCTTATATATAAAAGTTAATAATTAGAAGGAATTAATTACGGAATTAAATGAGTAATTATTGAATGATTAGAAAATGATAACTACACTAAAGTTCAAAAAATACAAATACCTTCAAAATCCAAGTCTAACCCTTTGAAGTCTTTGTCTTCTGAAATGAAGGTTCTTGTTAAAATATGTATCTTTTTAATCTTGACTAACTTAACCTCCTTGTACTTATTTTGACAGAGGATTAAAGTGTTGGGGTAGAGAGTGTCAAGATTGGAAAAGTCTAGCTGGTTAAATACAACAAGAATCGTGCCTCACATTTTGGAGAAGTACAAGGGTAGCGGAAGTCCTTTCCATTATTCTTGAAGGACCAAAATTGCAATATCCTGAAAAATATATAACAGCTGTTTTGAAGGCTCATAATCTTCATTTCATTTTTTTTCTAGAGATCTCTATTAGCTCTCTCTCTCTCTCTAACTACTCATTCTCCTTTTTCTAAACTTTCTTTTGTATATCAAGATTTTGTTATTCTTATAAGTTTAGATATTGTTGAAATAATTAAATTTGTAATTTGTGTTCTTTTATATGGTCGAATTAATATGTTTGAAAACCTCTTAGGACAGGTTTTTTCAAAATAATTTTTCCACGTATGGGAGGAATTAAAGGAAACATATGATCAGGTTGATGGTTCAGTTACCTTTAATTTGTACCAGAAAATAAACTCATTAAGTCAAAATGGTACTTCTGTCTCTAAGTATTATCACAAATTAAATTTTCTTTGGAAACAATTTGATGCCCTTGTAAAACTATCGACCTGTACTTGTAAGGCTTCTCATGAATTTCTAGAACATAGTCAATTAAATAAAAAAATGCAGTTTCTTATGGGACTTGATGAGATTTACCAACTTATTCGAAGTAACATTTTGACTAGGGATCATCTCCCGTCTGTTAAGACCGCTTTCTTCCTTGTTTCAAGGGAGGAATCTCATAGGGGGGAAATCAAAATCAAAGTCGCATCAAAACTCAAAGTTATGCTTTCCTTAGTAAAAGCCTTGATAATAGAAGGAAAAATAAAAAGAAATCCCAACATCCTTGTTTGTAAGCACGGTGGTGCAAACAGACATACTATTGAAAGATATTTCAAACTTATAGGATTTCCCAAAGACTTCCAACACAGACCTAGACCTCAAAATCAAAGTCAAAATTTTAAACCCCAAAATTCTAGTTTTAGACCCACAGGTGGAAATGTTTCTACCACTGAACCTGTCTATCCTAAACCATCTTCTCCCTTTTCAGAGGAACAAGTTGCAAAAATTCTGAAATTAATTGATCATAAATCTACCTATGACGAAGCCACTGTCAATATGGGAGGTATGTTTCAAAATTCTCATTCAGGTTGGATCATTGACTCTGGAGCTAATCAACATATTACCTCAAACTGTTTAAGTTTAGATAATGTTGTTGATGTCACTGATCTAAATCTTAAAGTTAGCCATCCAAATGGAATGAAAGTTTAAATAAAATTGGGAACCTAAAACTATCTAATAATGTTATTCTTTTTTATGTGCTTGTTGTTCCTGACTTTGATGGCTATATTTTCTTGGTTTAAAATTAAGGTTAAAAAGCATTTTATTTTCATCATTATGAGAAAATAATGTGTTTATTTAATCTATATTATTTTTTTGTTTGTTTGTAGAAGTCTAGCCCAAAAAGAAATATTTTTGTGGACTTCATCAAGCCCARCAGCACCAGCAGCCCACTAACAAGAAACAGGCTGCAGCCCAAGACCAAAAATCAAACCTGTCGATTGAGAGAAATCGGCAGCGGGAGAGGAAGACGTGGGCAGCGAGACTGAAGACGTGGGCAGAGAGGGATCGAGGGAGCAAAGTCGGTGGATAAAAGAGGAAGCACGAGAGCTGTTCGAGGGGGGCTAGGGGCGAGAGAGGACAGCACGAGGGCTGTTTGATCACGAGGGCTGTTGGCGAGGAAGAAATCGACAGCAAAGGGGCTGTCGATTGGGGACTGTCATGAGACACGAGAGACGAGAGACGAGAGAGGACAACAGCAAGCAGCTGTTCGAGGGAGAAAGACGGTTGCGGTTCGATTTGGGGAGAGGGATGCGACCGTGAAGACAGCAACTTTCATCATCTTTTCGGTAAGTCCTAAAACCCTTAAAATTAGCAACCTAGTTTAGCCATGTGTGGCTAATTCCTTTAGGATTCAATTTTGGGTTATTTAGCATTTGCAACTTCTAATTCATATGGTTATTTGAGATGATGTATTTCCATCTAGCTTTGATTATTTATCCAATTTCTGTGTTTGTGGTTTATAAAATTGAGTTTCATACTTTCTGATCAATTGTGTTGAATTTGATTGTAGTCAAATTAGTTTTCTAAATCCGTAATTGTTTAGTAAACTAGTGTTAGTGACACATAACAAGGTGGGTTTTGTCAAAGATTTCTACTTTTGTTGTGAAATTGGGTGAAACCGTACGATAAAATTAACCGAGCTTATGTGTTAATTTACCCGGATCCGGGTTCCATTTAATTTTAATGCTAGTATCAATTAAGTCTTCAAGAGCTTGTTTGAGACTAATTGCATACTAAGGTTTGATAGGAGAGCTTGTTCCTCTCAAACGCCATGTATGTTGGAATTGTTTGTTAGAGCTTTTTAACAAATAGAACCGGGTTAATCGAAGTAGAGGCGATATTTATTTACATTGTCAATGATAACGACCTATGAATAAAAAATTGCATTTGTAACCCAAAGTTGAGTTTCTTTTCATTTTGATTGTTTAAGCTTATTCTACGTTTCTTATGTTCATATCCTTTTTGCACAAACCAACCCCCCCTTCGTATTTAATTTTAAGTTTCCTTTTTGTACTTGATTATCTAGTCCTAAAGAGTTAAAGCCTAGTCCTAAAGAGTTAAAGCCGAGTCCCTGTGGATTCGACTCGACTTACCACTTTTACAATTTTGGTTGTAAAATTGTGCGTTAGTTTGGACTTATTTATTATTTGCCGGTCTCGACACCCGTCAAATTTTTGGCGCCGCTGCCGGGGAYTCGGTATTTCTAACGGTTTATGCCTAGATCTTCACGTACAGGTTCCCCAATTCCTATTGACTCGGAGATAGAAAAGACAGCCCGAAAGCTAAGGAAACAAGCCAAACTTCGATAGAAGCAAGGTGAGTCGACTTCATCACCGGGTCTGAACATTTGGAAAAATATTGAATTGTCCACGGAGTCGAATTCAGATCAAGAGGATCAGTTTGAAGACAAAGAGTTCATTTATAAAGAAGAAGAAAAKAAGCCAGAAGTGATGGCTAACCCGGAGCAGACGCTACGTCAATTAGCAACCCAAGATGTTGCTCAAACTCCAATCTGCATCAGGTATCCGACAGGTGATCAAAATTTTGTGCTCAAGACTGGCTTGATCCATCTCTTACCCACCTTTCACGGGTTAGAGAATGAGGACCCTCATAAGCATTTAAAACAATTTCACATAGTTTGTCTTAGCTTGAAACCGTCTGAAGTTTCGGAGGACCTTGTAAAGTTAAAGGCATTCCCTTTTTCTTTACAGGACCGTGCTACAGATTGGTTATACTCGTTACCGCCCGATTCGGTAGCGACATGGAACCAAATGGCGAGGTTATTTTTAGACAAATTCTTTCCCGCCTCCCGAGCCGCTAACCTTCGTAGAGAGATCTGTAGTATTAAGCAACGAGATGTTGAGACTCTCCATGAATATTGGGAGAGATTCAAACATCTCTGTGTGAGTTGTCCACAACATGGAATCTCGGATCAATTGCTTTTGCAATATTTCTATGAGGGCCTCCTCCCGATGGATAGGAAAATGATTGATGCCGCAAGTGGTGGTGCCATGTTTAACAAGACCCCTACTGAGGTTAGAGCTCTAATCACCACTATGGCTGAAAATTCCCAACACTTTGGTGTGAAGAATGACATGAGGAGAGAACCACTCGAAAGCCAATGAGATAAACGTTGCTAGTATTGAGAGTCAGTTGTATAATCTTACTAATCTGGTTAAACAACATATAGTAGGAAAAGAACAGGTGAAAGCTTGCGGAATTTGTTTAGCAACAAGCCATCCAACTGATGYGTGCCCACAACTTCAAGAAGATGTGTTGGTGACGGCTGAAGATGTGAATGCAATAGGAGGATTTCAAGGTCAGCCACAACAACAAAGGTATTTCAATAACAATTTTGGCAACCAAAGACCTCCTCAATTTCARAATTTTGTKCAAAGGCCGCAGCAACAACAACAGTTTCAGCAAAGAGCACCCTTCAATCCAAATCAAGCTACTTATAGTAGCTCAGGTATGTCTCTCGAAGATATGGTCAAAACTTTAACTGCTAACACTATTCAATTTCAAYAGAAAACGGAAGCAAGTATTCAAAACTTGGGAGCTCAAATGACACAACTTGCTACGTCCGTGAGTCGATTGGAGTCTCAAGGAAAATTGCCTTCTCAAATGGAGACGAACCCAAAGCAAAATGTAAGTGCAATTACCTTGAGGAGTGGAAAAGAGCTAGAAGAACCAAAGTTGACWAAGAGTAGAGAAGTGGAGAAAGAGAAAGAGGTAAGTGCAAAACCGGTTCAAAGTGAGAAACAACCGGAATCCACAGTTAATGCAAGTGAAAAAGCAAAGGTAATTCCACCACCCTTTCCTACACGTTTTCAAATGTCTAGCAAGGCTAAAGAAGAAAGGGAAATTTTAGAGACTTTTAGGAAARTTGAGGTGAATATCCCTCTTTTAGATGCAATCAAGCAAGTYCCTCGTTACGCCAAGTTTTTAAAAGAATTGTGTACCAATAAAAGAAAACTTCAGGGTAATGAGACAGTTAGTATGAGCGAGAGTGTCTTAGCTGTGTTTCAAAAGAAACTGCCCCCAAAGTGCAAAGATCCTGGTGTGTTCACCATTCCTTGCAAATTGGGGAACGTTATGATCAATAGGGCTATGCTTGATTTGGTTGCATCTATCAATATGATGCCATACTTTGTCTTTAAGACTTTAAATGTAGGCCATTTACAAGAAACCGGGGTGATCATTCAATTGGCCGATAGATCC